AATAATACTTTAAATGGCAGGATCTCCGATATGAAGTTCCCTGATGACCCTAATATCCCTTCATTTATATAAGCCCTAGCTGCAATCATTTACTAGCTATATATATATACCAGTTTATATATGTAAACGGTATATATATATATATACAACGACTACCTAGTATACTACCCAAAGGGTCCGTGTACCGTCTGAGGCAACACTTGGGTCTACATTGTCTGACAGCCCACCTTGTGCTATTCACTCACATGGGGGTTTGGTCCTCGAGATGGTTAATGTGGAAAAAAATATGTAAATACGCACTCATGGATCCATGCTGGGTTGTTCCTTGACGGGGTACGCGGTGGCCTTGGAGTGCTCGTGGGTGCCTGGCCCACTGTGGTAGTGGTGGCCTGATTTATATATGTAGCACGGATAAAGAATCGTCCAGAATGTATCGGCAAAGTCAACAAAATCACATTAATACATGCATGCTGGAGTGCACGGGAGCACTTCTATGAGAGTGCTTGGAGTGTTCTAGATCTGGCAGTGGTCTGATCAAGCTGTGTCAGGACCAGTCTACTGGGTTGTGTGCAAGGCCCCAATAGTCCCTTCATGCCAGCACAGTGTCGTATATATCCCTAAGGGTCCATGTACTCAAATAGTATATACATTGGCTTTAATGTAGTCCCTATATATAGGTACTTTAGGGCCCATGTATATGCTATATGAGTACATGGACCCTTAGGGATATATGTGAGGTTTCTGATTTTAGGGGCGACTCAAAAATAGGATTGAGATGTGGGTGGGGTCCCACAATTGGACCATATGCTTGCTCAAGTGTGCAGCCACGTGTCCCCTTCATGCCACAAGATCAGTGTCGTATATAGATATATATATATATGTGAGGTTTCTGATTTTAAATTAGGGGCGACTCCAAAAGTAGGATTGGGATGTGTGTGGGGTCCGGCAACTGCTTAGTGAAAGCCATATGGACCATACGCTTGCTCATGATATGTGCAGCTCTAGCCATGTTTATTGGCTGTGCATTATAAATTAGTTGCAAGTTTTTGGAGTAGTGGAGCCATGCCGGGATTCTTTGGCATTCTCCACCACGTGAACAAGAGGCGCCGTGAAGGTGCCTCCCATCCCCATCTGTGGCCCAGTGCTGCACATGTGCTCGATTGCAGCTGCTCATATATACTGGCACACAGACACATGCATGTGCATTCCTGTTTCATCGCTGTGCCTGTGGCTCACATCTATATCTGCAGGCTAGTTGTCTGCACATGCTTTGCCCACATGAGAGAGGGTAGAAAAAACAATTAACATTGCTTTCAATAGTGGAACTTTCGTTCGTGTTGTTGCCCGACGATGTCTGCACCTGCTGCAGATCGTGCCAAATCCGATGCACCTGCAGCTTTCAAACAGATTGACAGCCAGCGGCTGTTGAAGGACCTCCCGCCGATTTCAGGAAAGCAGGTAATTCGACCTGTGCGCTTCTTTGTGTCAGACTCTCGCCTTGTATATAATGGCATGTGTACATGTGCATGTTCCCATCTGAACCCTGTGAGATTTTTTTTGTGGCCGTACTGATGAGGATGAGGCCATGAAGATAGTGAATGCATTGCGCCCCAATGTGGAGGCAAGGCTTCAGGATCTCAGATCGACAGAAGAACCTGGGTAGCAGATGGAATTTACAAGCACGGTACATTATATGTGCATGTGCATGTACATGTGGTGAAAGGACAAGCCGGTTGTCACAGTACTGGACGTCAAGATGGGAGAGCAGGATTTGGTAGATCCGGTGAATTACGAGGTGATGAAGTCGTATGTGCCGGCACTCCTGAAGGGAGTGGAGTTGCCAAATGCAGATCTGATTGATTGCAAAGAGCATCATGTTAGGGCCCAAGCGACTATACATGATACTTGAGAGGCATGTTTCATTCATGAGATTTTTGGTGAGGCGGCGCTCTTATATGTCGGCTGCATCTACGGTTTTTGGACAGAGGCTTTTGTGGCCGTGAAAGGCAACAAGGGCAAAATGAAGGCTCGATGGGTGTGCACTGCTCGTACTGGTCAGAGCACATACGAGTCAAATTGTCAAGTTTGCAGTGATCTGATGTTGGACAGGACTGGAGCCAGTTACAAGGCACCAGGCTGCGATGGATAGCCTCGTACCTATGCCGGGCCATATACAGAACCCCCTCAGCAAGGATACCCCAGGGCTGATTAATATCGAGAGAGAGATGGAGAGTCTGATCAGTGATTCGATAGTATAGTAGGGTGAGTGGTAGTAGTTTCGATCTAGCCCGATGCAAGGACTCCGCAGGTAGCCGTCTTGAAGAACCTTTACTTCATCACAAACGGAATTTCGCCTCATGATGTGTCATCGGCCCCAAGAAGAAAAAGCAGTGCAATGTCAGTGGGCAGTGAGGCCGGGTGCAGGGTACGAAGTTTTTCACTTGTGTTAAGTGGCACTTGTACTATTGGACAGGCCAGCTCTATGTCCTCAGTGTCCGTGGATATTGAGGACAGATATGTGATGAAAACATGCATACGGTCTCCAGTAGAATGCACCAGGATCTGGAAGTTCTCAGTGCTGTTGGGCACGATGAGGCTGAAAGTGAGGCTGGTACCGGCATATCTCTTAGTCTAGTCGTAGCTGGTCAGGAAGAATTCGAAGGGGAAGCTCCTTGCGAGTTCGAATTCAGGGAGCTGGAGGCCGGGTGGATAATATAACAGTGCTGATGAGTGTATGTGGATGAGTGTACATGTAGTGGATGGGTCTTATCGTGAGGTTCTCTCAAGCCACGACGGATCTCCAGCTGCAGCACGTGGTGCTGTTATGGAGGTGCTGAAGTTCATAGGCGAACCCAATATCCCCAAAATCTTAATCCCAGCCCATTATATAACCCTCAGCCCTCCTCAACCCTAAACGACCCTAAACCCTAATGCTCAAAACTTCCTGCTCTGCCCCGGTCAGGTTGATTCGGATTCCGATGTGGGTAGCGATGGTGATATTCAAGCTACATGCCTGCACATGTGTAGAGTTAAGATTTAACATGGGCACATTAATACCACTGCTGGTGCTTGAGGCCCCTTTGCCGGTGCCTGGCTGCCTGGAGGCAGCTTTGGGGGGAGGGTTGGGGGTGTATGTTATCGGCTTCTAATTAAAGGCTTCAGGGCTTAAGGGGTGTGCTTTTTACAGGGTTTCAGGTGCAGAGGGTTTAGGGTTTCTGGGTTTGGGTTGCTTAGGGCACGTGCTATTCTGCTATTGCAATTAAGGCATGCAAGATACTTCGAATTCCCGATCTTGCAGATGCTGCACCCTTGCCGAAATCGTGCATGCACAGGCCCCGTCTGCTGGGAGCATCCCTGTGGTGCCCCTCGAGGACACTGCTGGCTCCGAGTTCGAATTGTATGGCTGGCCAAACTGATGAATTGCATGCACACTCGACTTAGCCCCAAAACGTGATTCAGGATGGGCTTCTTGCGCGCCAATTGGACCCTGAACTAGATGAGGTGACTTGCCTCTTTCAATCCGAGATAGTAAGCACACCACACCTTCAAATCAATAATTCTTGCAGGCCTTAAGTCCTTATACTGCCGAGGCTGCGGTTCACCAGAAGATCCACGAAGAAGATCCTCGTGCCAGTGTAGGGTCAAGGTGTTGGGAGTCTTAGGGGATCCGGATACGGGTTTGCGGATTTAGGGGCTTACTTACCCAAAGGGTCCTAGGTACTGTTATAGGGGATACTTTCCCAAATCATAATAGCTATTCCTAATATAGAAACCCTACATTATACTATATAGGTACATTGGACCCTTTGGGTTATTATAGGGGTGTGAGTGTGGTGTTTTAGGTAAAGGGAATTATCGGAATTCTTGGTAGGGGGAGGGACTTGGGATGTTCGGTTCGGGGCTTTGGTTGGCATGTGGTTGGGCATCCTACTGTGTTGCTTGTCTAGCACCAACAACCCTGCCTATGAACCCAGACTACTGACCCAAAGGGTCCAAGTGCTAGTATAGTATATACTTTCGGGGCCCAAATACCTACTAAGTACTTACTATAACATTAATGGTACTTGGACCCTTTGGGTGCACAAAGGCAAATTCTGAAATGCCCCTGGCCCTTTAAATGTCCATGCTCAGGACTCAACAGGTGAGCCAGTGTCAACCGAGCCCGTTCATGTGCATGTCACATTCCCAGCTTACTTGGGTAGTGAGAAGTCCCTTCCCTGACACTGTATGCATTGAGGTCATAATGTCCCTTCCTACACCAACTCGGGCCTCGACAGTGACCTCCTCAGCTCCTGTATTGTCCCAAAGGGTCCAGGTACTAGTATAGTATATACTTTTGGGGCCCAAATACCTACTAAGTACCTACTATAATGGTACTTGGACCCTTTGGGTGTCATTGTCTAGCAACATTTCGGACCCTGCTGCAAACAGCTGGATTTCTAGTCAAGGCCACGATAGAGCAAGCTTCGATTCCTGCACCGACTTCGGCCATGGATGTGGCAATCCCAGTTGATTACTTTGCACTGTCTATTCGCTAGGGTTATATTAAGCTTCTGATTTAACAGACTCGAATAAAAATCGAGGCCGCAGCAGATCAGCCTATGGTTTCGATTCCTGCACCGACATGCACAGGGGCCTTGGAAGTGCCCTTCCCAGTTCGCTGTCTAGCAACATGTGTCCCCGCATCCGCCCAAACTCTGGGTTTCGACTCGAGGTGATGGAGCAAACTGCACTTGCGATTCCTACACCGACTGTGGCCCTGGATGTGGCAATCTCAGCACAATGCATTCGCGACTGTAATTATACGTAGCAGCAAACAGTACACAAGACTAGTATGCATCGAGGCCACAGCAGATCAGCCTATGGATTCAATGCCGCCTGTACCCTTCGATGTGAGCTTCCCAGCTCACTTTGCCAACAACAAGCCCCCACTCCCTGATGTCGGCATTTTGAATCGAGGCCACTATGGAGCTGCCTGTGAGTTCGATTCCTACACCGGCTGGGGCCCTGGGTACTGTGGCAAGCCCAGCACATCCATGCTGCTGTCGATTGCAGTTAGTTTCAGACAGGGCACAAATTTACACACCAAGGCCACTTCAGTTGAGCCTGTGGATTCAGTGCCCACACCGGCAGGGGTCTTGGATGTGAGCTTCCCAGTACTTTCCTCAGCTCCTTGAAACATGGATGTCGAATGAAGGCTACAATTATGGAGCAGCCAGTACATGGGATTCCCGCGCCAACTGGGGACTTCAATGCAACCATCCCAGCTCACTGGCTGTGTCGAGTAATGTTTCGACAAATTTTATATCTAGACATACCACGATCTCCAGGCCGCAGAAGACGTGGCTATGGATTTGGTGCCTGTGCCAGTAAGGGCCCTGGATATCGATGTCACTCCCAGTCATGCTAGCAACACCCTCTGAACAGGCCGTGGAGCATCCTGTGCTTTGGACGGCCACTGGGGCCTTGGATGTGGTAATCCCAGCTTCGTTGCACTGTTCATGATTTGTGGGCTATTGCTTGCACGACTTGGCACATGGAGGCTGCAGCAGATGAGCCTATAGATCCGGTGCTTGCACAAGAGCAGGTTTTGGATGTGGCGATCCCAGCATACTCGTTTCCCCTCAATACAACATGTAGATTTGCAATTGATCAGGCCCCGATGGAGCCACCAGTGGCTTCAAATCCTACACCAACCGAGGCCTTGGACCCAAGCGCTGCAGCACTAATATTGTGAATTGTACAGATCCTAGACTGTGTATGATTAGGCCCCGATGGAGCCGCCGATGTCTTCAAATCCTACACCAACCGAGGCCTTGGACCCAAGCGCTGCAGCTCTAATATTGCGAATTAAACAGATCCTAGAGTACCTCTTCCTCCATATCATATAATCTCCCAGCTCACTGTAGTAAATGCCTCGCCCAAATCCAGAATTATAGACCATATATGCCGAGGTGCGCAGAGATGAGGCTTCGCAGCGCACATCCAATGGGTCCTTGAAGGACTGTGGTTGACACTGCATGCTAGGCCTAGGGTTATGGCCCGAGTGGTTGCAATCTCACTAGGACCGAACACCACTTCTCCCAGAGGGCAATCTACCATTCAACTTCCCAGTGCTTCTGGAAATGCCGAAGATGGATGGTACTCCACTCACAGCAGAGGATGTGCGTAGAGATCAGGCAAATTTGAGACACGAAATTCGCCAGGACATGTCGTTTAAGAAGTCGCACATGTGTGTGTGTGTGTGCTTTGTGGGTGTAGGACTCTTGACATGTAGACCCGTGTCAGGAACAAGCAAAGAAAAGGCTCCAGGGTGACAAGAGTGCAGCGGCAAAGAAGCAAAAGGTTGGACACACCTCCGAGCAAGCCCAGCAGCCTGGGCACACTGTGCCTCCGGAGCAAAACATGGCACCTGCTGAGCACCCTGTGCCTCCTGAGCAAAACACGGCACCTGCTACGCACCCTGTGCCTCCCGAGCATGTGCCTCCCGAGCAAACCGAGCACCCACCAGCGGCTACCCCAGCTCAGAGTGTCAAGGCAGCTAAACGTGTGAAGGAACAAGCCAAAGCCCAGGCAGGCGCAGAGAAGCTTCTTCTTGCAAAGCTTACAGATTGTGTGCCCCCGTCCGGTGATGTTCGAGCCCATGCTTTGAATCGACTGTTTCTTGACTGCTCTCTCTGGATCTGGTGCTATAGTACAAATTTAAATTAGGACCCCGGGCCCCTGTCATCATTAGAGGTCAACCACAGCCCATTGCAGTCTGTGCAAAGTTCAGAGAATGTGGTACCATGTGGATGTGCTGGTTGGGCCTAGTCTAGTCTGTTATATAATTTGCTCTCTCATTTCAAATGCAGCTCAGGAGCTTCACTGTCAAGTGCCCGCAGGGAGCCTCCGTGGCCGTGGGTGCGAGGGGAGTCACAGTCGAGCTCAACAAACAGTCCTTCTATGTCCAGAAAGCCCTGGCAAGATGTCCTGGTGTCAATGCACCTAATCCTTTAATCTGGATACATTCTAAAATACCTCCCTGGATATATATATATATATATATGCGATGGGTTAATTATATTACAAGAGTCCAGCCCTTACATTAATATCCAAGGTTGATAACAAGCAAAATGGTGGCTCGACGTTGGCATGGTCTCGTGGAGACCTCCATGATGTGTGCCAGGGCAGCAAATGCTAGCTATAGTCGATATATGAGACCAAATAAAAGATCGTCCTGAACCCTACGCCCTAAGCCCCAATTTCCTGTAAAACTAAACAAAACCCTAGCAGCATTAAAGCACTATGCACAAGTACTCTAAGTGCTTCTCTATAGGGGAGTGACAAGCTATCCCTACAACCCTCGACCCTCGCCCTAGCACTAACTTGTGGCCAGGTTAGTGTTGAGGTTCTGGGCAAGAGGGGTGTTTGCTGAGTGTTTCAGTTTGAAGCAGTACTAGTCTTTATTCGGGTGTTTCAATTCGTGGGTTCTGTGCTGAACCCCAAACATGTAACCCCCAGTCTAAGCCCCTAATTTTAATACTATAATAATAATACCCCTAAGCGCCCCATACCCTGTACCATTGCATCTGCCAGGTGGGACCTCGCCCAGATCTTGGCTGGCTGGAAGCAGATCAGCCAGCGTGAGCAGGTGCAGGTGGGTGCGGCATAACCTGGGCTGGTACAAACCCCATACCCTATTATAATAGCTAGCACCCCCCCATAAAGGTCCATGTACCCAATTTGTAAAAATTACCATATTCCCTATATATATATATATGGGTAAATTATTTGGCCCAGAGTATATACTATATTTAGGGTACATGGACCCTTATGGACCCAGAGCCCTTGACTATCCATCCCATTATATATTATATAACCCCAAACACTGAACCCTAAACCTGGAAACCTGAACCCTGATACTAAGCCCAAAACCCTCAACCCTAAATTCGAACCCTATCCCCATGATCCCTGAACCCGAACCCTGAACCCTAAATCGGAAACCCCTAAAACCCGAACCCTGAGCCGCAAGCCCCGAAACCGGAACCTAGAGCCCTGAATCCTAAGTTCTAAGCCCTAACCCTCAACCCTAGAATTGAATTCAAAATTTGGGGTCTTGATCATCCTTCAGACAAGCTGTCTCATCTCCGAGCCAATTAATCTCCATCTCCGCCAGTGATTCTCATCATATCCACCAGGCCTGGCTGACCGCAACAACGACGGCTCCGGAGCCAAGCAAAGATGCAGATGCCTTGAGTCATGAGTGAACTTCTCCGAATGCCACTGGGGACCTGAAGCTTCTACTGTGCAATACAGAAATACAGTACTAGTACTGTGACACCAATTGCAATATAAGATTTGCATGTGCATCAGCTGTACTCGTCCTAGCTACACACAGGCCCTGTGTGAGCCTAGTTTCAACCAGGCGTGTGCGATTACACATGCTGGTTACTTCGTGCACAGCGCTACGCTGTAATTGAGATCTAGCTGGAGCAGTGCAAGACACATGCGCCGACGGAGCCAGCCCAAATTATGACATGTGTGATTGCAGTATATTCCGGAGCGGTGAAATCAGTGCTGTTCCCATCCCTTCGATTCATTCCCTGCAATGTGCATGTCTCGAAGTGCAAAACCGAACTGTGTGTACATTGTTTTATCCAAGTGGGTTTCCTCTAAATCCAGATCCCTATATCCCAAAGGGTCCAGGTACTAGTATAGTATAT